GCAGCTGCTGCTGAAGACAAAGAACATCCTGCCTGTAGGAAGCTGAGGAAACTCTAGCATTGAGAGCTTGTATTTCTAAATCCTTCTCTTGAATGATCCGAGTAAGTTTGCCAACTTCATCCTTAGACAACTGATCAATTTGCTGACTTAGGGAAACGTTCTTTTCATTCAGAAGCTTAATCTCCATCTCTCTTTCTTTGATACCTTTTACCAGTCTTTGAATTTCAGCTTTAGATAAGTCATGTTTTTCATTTCCGTTTTCTCTATTAAGAGTTTGAACTTTGGTTTCCTGAAAAAGATCAGAGGAATCAGTCTGAATAATCTGTCTCTCTTTGTGCAGTTGAGTTTTAATCTGTTCAATTGTTTTCTGCAAATTTTTAATTTCCTCATCTTTCTCTAAAGAAAGTCTTTCATGTGTAACATTCATTTGCTCACACTGAAATTTAGACTCATCTATTTCCTTTCTTTGCTCCTGCAAAGACTGCTGAAGTTGCGCTGTTGTTTGATTCTGATCTTCTATTGTTTTTTTGTGAACTTCTATTTCTTCTTCAAGATTACTCTTTATCACTTTTAACTGCGTTACCTCACTTTCAAGTTCAATAATTATATCTAGAGTTTTAGGCTCAACCACGGGCGTAGATCTACTTTGCTGATCTTTAAGGCGTTCAATTTCTTCTTTCAAATGATTATTTTCTTCCTTCATTACTGCAAGACTTCTGTCTTTTTCCTCCAAGTTCTGTTTTAAGACATCCTGCGTTTTTGAAACTCTCATATATTCCTCAAGTTCTTGCTTCACCTGTAAGGCTTGATTTTTAAATTTTTCAATAAATATCTCTTTTTCTTTTATGAGTTCTGTCAACTGCTTTTGTCCTCCTAAGCTAGTAGTCAACATCTCTTTTGTTTCTTGATGGTCAATTTCCATCTGCTCAATGCTCCTTTTAAGTTCAGCAATCTTGAAGTCTTTCTCTTGATTTAGTTTAACTAGGCGCTCATGTTCAAGCTGCAAAGCAGTGGTATCCATACTACGTGCATTTGATAATTCCTCAATAGTTTGCTTATACTTATGTGCTTGTTCCAAAAGCCTCTTTTCTGTCTGGCTTAATTCGGTCTCTAATTGCCTTTTTTCCATTTTCAAAGCCTCCACAACACTGTCTTTTTCCAAGTAAACTTTCTTTTTCTCAGCAACAGCATCACTTAATTCTTGTTTTAGTTCTTCAATGGTTGCTATCAGCTTTCCATTTTCTGTTCTGAGATCAGACAGAGATTTCTCTAAGTCTTCATTTAGTTGTCTATTTTCTGAAATGTCATTCTGTAGTTTTGCAATTTCTACTTCTCTTTCTTTCAGAATCAGATCTTGACAAGTGTAGCTAGATTCCTGATTATTTTTTTCTTTTAACGTGCTCAAGGATACAGAAAGTTCCTCCTCTTTTTCTTTTAGTCTCTGTTGCAATTCTCCAATTTCTTTTTTATTATGCAAATTAGAGTCCTGGGATTTCCTTAATTGTTCCTGAAGATCTTTAATATTATCTTGAAGCTGCTGCTTACTTATATGCAAATCGTTAAGTGTATATGAACACTGGGTTAGTTTTTCTTTCTGACTATCTAACTCCTTAATAGTTTCCATCTTTTCAATTTCTAATTCTGATACTTTCTTTCTTTCAAAATCTATGTCAAATTTCAGCTGTTTGATTATACTTTCAGTTTCTGTGTGTTGTTTTGACAGCTGCTCTTTCAGTGTAATCATATGCTGAAATGAATACAAACAAGAATTCATTAGGAGAGAACCAGCCAAACTATGCATTTTATTCATTTTTATCCTCTGAATAATAAAAAAAGTAATCAAGAGCAAACAAAAACATTTCCTAGTTGCCAACATTAAGTTGGCAAGCAGTATCAACAAGTCAATATTAAATTAATGAAAACCAAATATTAAATTGGGATAGATTACATTTCACTACAAACAAGAACACCATCTCTTTCTAAAGAAGTCTAACTACTTAAATCAAGGAATAAAAAGAGAACTACCTAAGAAAAAGAACTGTCAGAATTTGTCAGGGCAGTTGGAATGGGTATGCAGCAAACACCCATTACTTAAAAACAGGAAGGTACTAAATTTAAAGTAAGAAAACACAGAAGTGAATGCACATCTGTATATTTTGTTTTCAATTTCTTGTTTAAGTTTATTTTTCAAACATACTCACTGAGATTCATTTCATAGGAAAACACTTTAAATGTTCAATTCCATGAAGTAAACCAATATTGAAAACACATGGTTTGCAAATATATGTTTACAGGTCAAATATATCAGAACAGTGACAAAAATGTATCATTCTATTTTTATTACATATAATCGGTGACACTTTTCCCTCCACAAATGCTCGAATTATGAAGAACTTGTAATAAAGTAACTTATTTACTGAACATAATTAAAAATAATGAAAGGAAAAGAAAAGAAGTTTTAAAAAACATTCATGTTATGCCTACTGTCACGAAACAAAGGTCAAAATACCAGCAGGATAAAAAACGTCAAGTGTCTTACTAGGAAAAAATCAAGTCGTATTTAACTGGACTTCAGAAAATATAATCGCTTACAGATAGCTGGCATGCCATTTCATTTCCTTGTCCATAACAAGTGTGTTTCTTCCACTTCAGAATTTCACATTTAAATGGTAGATATGGAGAAACATTGGCCCAATGCTATTTTTGATAACTTGTATTTCTCTGCTATCTATGTTCAAAGATCAACTTAAAAGATAAACACACATGTACACAAATCTAAACATTTATTTTAGCAGTTCAATAATTAGTTGTAATTATTTATTACCTGAGTAGCTTCTTGATTCTGCTTGTCTAGTTCTTCCAAGTCCGCTATTAATGCTTCTCTTTCAGCAATACTTTCATTTAATTCATGTTCTTTCCTTTCCAAATCTTGTCTTAACTGACTTAATTCTGAATTCTGATCCTCAGTATACGCAGGAAGAATTTTCTCATTTTTATGTTGTGCACTTGTCAGGTCCTTCTCAAGTCTCTCCTTAAGTTAAAAAAAAATATTCTAAATACTAAACAGTTTATAAATTTCAGTAATACAAAGTCTAGATTTGAAATGGTTTCTTTTTGCCCCCTCAACAAGTAAAAGCAAAGCATACATTTTAATGTTTATCCCTGTTCCTTGCAGGGGGGTTGGACTAGATGACCTTTGAAGGTCCCTTCCAGCCCTAACCATTCTATGATTCTATGATTCTAATGTTAGCATCTCCAAGCCTACAGGACTATTATCCCAGTTAAAAATTCTTCATTGTGAAGTATTCAACTCTACCATTCATACATACACATTTATTTTCTCATCACTAAGTTCAGGAGTGCAGTTTAGAACCTTCTGCACAAAAAGCCACGGTCTGACAAGCAAAGTTATATCCACCTCTGAGATATGGATCCACAGCTAAAATAGACTATTACATCTCCAAGAAATATCATAAACATGTAGCATGCTGCCCAGTGAGATAGCAAGTTTTAAATAAGGACATCTCAACAATATCGTGAAGAAAAACCATCATGGAAACTCTTGAATGTAAGCAAAACACAGAAGACCTCAGTTGAAAAATACTACTGGCTACGAAGTAATCGAAATCAAACCTCTCACGCCTGAGTTTATAAAGGATTAAGTCAACTTTGCCAAAAACTAAAGTTGTGTTCTAGAGAAACTGTATGTTCCACTGCTTAACTTCATCAGTAAGGTGGTGTCCTGGTTTTAGCTGGGACAGAGTTAGCTCTTCTTTTTAGCAGCTAGAAGAGCTCCGTGTTTTGGTTTTACTCAGAGGCTCGCTCTGAGAAGAATGTTGATAGCAAGCTGATGTTTGTAGTTGGCCAAGGACTTTTCAGTGTGCCATGTCCTGGCCGAAGTGCAGAAGCACAGCGGGATAAGGGGGGAGCATAGCCGGGACAAGGGGGCCATGATTCCCCTTGTGATTTGTGGTGGAACTTAAGATTGAGGGCCAAACTGGCCAATTAGTATTCCATATCATGCAGCGTCATGCCCAGTATAAAAGTGAGGGTCAGCCGGACAGAAGGGCTTTTTTTGCACTTTGGCTCTTTC